TGGGACAGTATTCTGGCAGACTTCATCCATAGGTTCCCCGTTTCTGGGTGTACTCGTCCCTCAGTCAAAAACAGTGACGTAGTACGGTTTTTAAACATTTCCTTTGCTACCATGATTATCTTTATAGCCCTTGTCGTTTTTGGAGATATACTCTTTGCTTTGTCTTGAGCTTTGTCACGTGTCGTGCTGTCAAATACAGCAGACTCTGAGTTTGTCACAACTACATCATTAAAGTAATTCAGACCTTAACACACAATAACACCAAAATAATGACCACTGATCACATGAGTCACCAAAACTGTAAAAACAAATCAAGAATCAATGTTGATTTACCGTAAAACTTTGAATTGACCCTGCGTATATTTGGGACAGGCCTTTAATTCCTTTTGCACAAAACTAAAACTACTACGAAAACAGTTCATTTATTTTAAACGGTATTATCAGATCGCTCCTCGTCCTAATCAGGTCATCCTCAGAGGAAGGACGACGGTTTGGGTAGTTTTTTTGTAGCCTATTCGAATTAGAGTGAAACAGTTTAGGGACCACATGAGCTGTGGAAATAGCAAATATAAATGTGCAGATAAATGATACCAGAAGATGAAACCAACGGAAAAGCCGAGCTTGTGGCGATAAACTTGCAACAGAGACGAACACGCCTGAAGGTGAGCGAGCGGCTGTTAAAACCACGCATGGACTTACAAGCGGGTGAAGGCACATAAGGAAAAAAAAAAAGGCGAGCTCTTCTCTTTCTTTCGGCGTGTTGCTTGCGTGTTTGGCTAACAAGCAAAACCATACAAATAATCATTTTTGGACGCAGTCTTTTTACGAAAAGCATCGACTGAATTACTGGTTTGACTGGAGACATTTCGATGCTACTCGATACTTAAAAAAGGTATCGACACTCGATACCCATCCCGCGTCAGTACCGACTCCCCCATCCTTTACACAGGCCACAAAACATGCAACAACCCGTCTGATCCATAAATCCACTTTGAACGGGAAGACGAGGAAGATCCTGAACCGCAACAACAAACTTTCACTTTTGTTTCCCCGTTTGTTCCGGTTAAGCTTCTGCAAAACGGGACATCAGACGACTTCTAAAGTCAAGTCAAGTAGAACTTTATTTTCTCCAGAGGGACAAATAGTTTTGGAGCAGTAAAACAAAAAAAACTGTATGAACACAAAGATACCACAACACACATCCAATATCACACAAAGGTTATATCATAGGAGAAGTGAAAAGACACAATATAAGTTCTGTGTTTTAGTAGAACTAAGATAAAAGGTAATATTTACAAGCATGGTTGGTTTTACTGGCTGAGGATATGAAGGAGTGTTTGTATTGGTTGGTTTTGGCGTTCTTGGAGTGGGAACCTGAAGGCAGGGTCTGAAACCCAAGGTGCTGTCAGACAGGATGCATTCTGCTTTCTTCAACAGCTGTGTCTTATATAAAAATCAGACAGACTTTTCTGTTGAGTACCAGTGTTCACGTATCACCTTAGTTTAAGCATTTTTAACTTTAAGATTGAGAGACGCAAACTAAAATCAACAAAAAAGTCAATAAAACAGAGTCATCAGGGGCCTCTCAACACCGAAATTCACCAGCTTTCTCAGACAAAAAAGGCTTCTTTTGTTCTCCATAACATATTGGCGTTACAATCAAAGTTCAGCTTATTCTCAATTATAGCGTCCAAGTACTTATATGACTCTACGAATTCTACATCCTGACCGTTAATTTTAGTGTTGACAGCACACAATACACATATCCTCTTTTCTTTGTCACACTTAATTCCAAAAAAGGTTTCTTTACAAAGTGTGAACAATGCAACTCGCTTCAAAACCCACACACATACAAAACAAACAAAGTATAACGAGGAGACGCCTGAAGAGGCAGCTCAGAATACATTCATTTCAGTTGAGCCACAACACATTCACCCGTCATTTAGTCAAAGCGCGACAATTACGTTTTGGCCTTTTGACAAGTGCTGCAAAGACGCATTTCGTGTTGTGTGGCGGGTACGCAACGTTGTGCGTTGACGTATATCAATCCCACCACACCATCATCCTCCTGTCCAATAGAGAGCGCAAGTCCCGCCCCTTCCGGTGGACCAATAGGGGACCTCACGGAAAGAGACATCAACATGTTTTGATACCGTTTTAATTGGGCCCTGAATTACACACATGATGCCAATTAAAAAAATAATTTAAGTTAAAAAAGTCAGTTTGTCGTAAAACTGTTGACGCCTGCGTCGTCCACCGGCCTCGCGGGGTTGCTTTGGGCTTCTCATGTGAACAGACACAAGCGCTCCGTGAGTAAACGGAAGGCGCGCTATAGATAGTAACCATGGCAACGGCTCCTGTGCGCTACCGTATTCCTTCATAGCCTAGCTTAAAGTAAAACTATAAGTAACGTTGTTTGATAGGCTATAATATGTTTTTCATATAGCTGATAAATCTAGTCATGCAAACGCCCTCGTGTTAATGTTCCGATAACTGTTCAGTGAAGTCACAGGCGGCGAGGATCGGTCGCTCATCCATCTTCTTTGCCCGCTTGTCGCTACGCCTGTCGCAATGCCCGCACCTGCCTTCCTACACGCTCGCCTCTCATTGAAAATTAATTACGAGGCGCGTAAATCGCTTCCCGCGTGAAAAGGCCATAAGACTGTGAAAATACGTCATTACAGAGACAAACGTTGTGTCTGTGACGCCATAACGGTTCCTCTCAGTGGCCCAATCCCAATGGCCCCCCTAAACCATAAGCCCTGAACCCTAACGTCACGTGGTAAGTGATTGAGTACAGGAGGCTGTGAGGGTTCAAAATAATGTAAACACGAACGGGGCAGCGCTTTGCCACAATATCTCGTTACCTTGACGACGATGAAACCCGCTGCACGCTTTGTATTTTTGTGTTTTTGCCTGATTTATAAGTCCCGCAGGCTCTCGCCCTACAGCAGGGGTCGGAAAATAAGTCTGGTGTGTGTGATTAGCTCAGTTGGTGATGCACAGGACTCCCGTTCAGAAAGTTGTGTGTTCAATCCTTTTTTTCGTCCTTTTTCAAAAAAGTGATTGTGCAGAGATCGTGTTCATCACAGCGATTGGTCCACATCAACCTATGGACGCTTATTGTCGTGTGTCCCCAGTATCTCCAAGCAGAGGGAATTGTGTCAAACAAGCCAGAGACTCTTTTGAATTTCCTTCAGAACATTTCAAAGTAAAAGCTCTAACTTAAACATGACATAACGTACTCCTGCAAATATGTTCTCATGCTTTTATTTTGTAGGCACAATCACTTAAGAGGAAGTGATTATGTGAGTAACGTTTGCTGTCATGACTGAGATCTGTTTCAGCATTTAATTATTTTTTTTTTCTCTCTTGCCAGTGAGCCCTATTGCCGACCACCGCCCTACAGAGTGGATGAAAGTTAAATGTCAATCTAATTCTAAATTCAATGCACCGCTGTTCAAATACTAAATTAAATAGCTGCATAAGCGAAGTGCGTAATAAGGTGATTGCTTTCCTATGACTTCATGTGTTCTATGCACCATCTTAAATCTATGATAAGATAAATTCGAACAATTTTAACATCAGTGTTTGTTTCCATGCTTGTTTATTTACCGTGGTGGATTTTTCTCTCCCTTCCGGGTGTCCCCGTATTTCACGTCACAACGCTATGAACTGTGGGCAATTTCCTCAGGCAAAGTCTTACTTACAAAATGGGCTCAAAATGCCCGCGAGAGAGCCCTCGCACACTTTGACAGCCCTAAGGCCTCGCGGACTTCCCGGGAACGGGCCTCAAAGTCTGTGAGTGTGGACATGGAGATTGGGCTAGTGACCGAAGCGAACGTTAAGAGCTTCCTGCACTTTTTTGTTCCAGTTTGCCTCACCACAACATCCTGTCTGAACAGGAAGCACATCACGTGAAGAACCGGGAAGCCTTTTCACACCCTCAAGTTTCAGACTGGTTTGTATGTAAACTGGTGAGTTTGTTCTGAATGTGTCGCTCACTCACCAGTGAACTGTGGCTGACATCAAAGACTTTTAAGTCTGTTTTTGGATATTTAAACACTGTGTCGGTGCCATAACAAACTCTCCCACATATATTCTGCATTGCTCCAGTGGTTCATTTGGTTTGTGCTGGGAACAACATTTTTTTTTATAGCTGCACAGTACTTTCAAGATTGTGTTTTGTATTGTTGAAATCTTTGGAAACTCTGCAGGAATTTAAAACATTTAAAGGGAGTTTGAACAAAGTATTGGGTAGGATAGCTTCTTGAACTCATAGTGAGTTTTCACACGCTGTTGAATCCCAAATAAGAGAATCGATTCATCGAGAAAATGATTTTGATGATTGAAGTCATTTTTTAAAAGTACAATTACCAAGTGTCCCCAAACTGGCAGCTTCTCAACTGTGAGGATTTGCTGCTTTTCTTTATTATGTGACAATAAACTGAATATTTTCAGCTTTGGACAGTTGGGAAAAGAAGCAGTTCGATGATCGAAGATGTTAATCAATTACTCTGGAAAACAACTGGTAGATTAATGAATGATGAAACTAATCATTATTGGCAACTCTACATCACTTCATTTTCAACTTTAGTTTGCTAAAATACCAAATATTTCTGAAGTTTGTGTTTAAAATAATGCAAATCTACAATAATGAAGAAAACCTGAGAAAAAATATTTTGTGATGATAAAAGTAATATCTAAAAAGGTAAATTTAAAAAGTTTAAATTGAGAATTAAAGAGTTCACAGGTGAGTTTACAGGTGAATAAATCCAAGAAAGCAACATTTTAAGGACTCACACATGAAAATATAATGTGTTACACAGCACAAACATGGCACAACAACAGGACATGGCACTTAACTCTCAGCTTTAAAAACAACTTTTTAAAACTTTTAAAATCACACACACTTCAAAAGCAACGACACACTGAGCAGAACCAGCAGCAGTTACTGGTCCAGTCCCACTACAGAGCGCTGGCGCTGCTGGTTTTCTTACCTGTTCAGGTGAGCAGAGGTTCGACCGTTTGTTGAGTTTCCTGCTGCTTCTGTTGGGTGGAGGCTCTGCTGCTGCTGCTGATGTCACTTTAACACATTAGTGGTCAGGTTGGCCACGCCCTCCAATGCTGCTTCATTCAAGGCCCGTGGGAAAGTCAGGATTTAGGGGTTTTCTTCTTCTTTTTCTGGCGTCAGGGGAACAGAAATTATTCATTTTTCACATCATGTAACATTGCATAATGCTGCTTTTCTGTTGTATTGGTAGAAGTGAGACAACAGGATGACAAATGGTTGCTCATCAACCCATATGAACATGTCCACCAAAAAACCCCACAAGATTTAATAACAAATCAGGATTAATTTCCTTAATATTGAAAAAAAGTTATATTTTGTCATATATTTTGAAATTACTTAATCACTATCACACTTATTTCTATCATGTTAAAGTATAAAGACGCTTTTTCCAAAGCAACTTACAATTACTATATACATCAGGGATCACAAGCCTCGGGAGCAACTGGGGGTTAAGAGTCTTGCTCAGGGACATATTGGTGGACGGCAGTAGGAACTGACTTCGTTGAAGAAAACCTTCACCTCTCATCCGACAGCCTTCTTCAGTTCTGACTGGCTGGTTGGGAATCCCAGCTCTTTAACCTCTGTGGTGTCGTTATCAAAATGACGTATACCGCTTGGTTCGATCCTGGCTGTTACAACAACAGTTGTTATGGTCCTTGGAGACACCCAAGGCAGACAGGACAGCATTGTAAGTAGGGGATAAGTGGTGTTGCAAACCTCCTGCTCTATTAAGAGAGTGGGTCTCTCCACTCTGGTGTAAATGGCCTCCTTGACACCTCTTTCAAACATCCGTCCTTCATGTCCAAAATACGCACATACGTCCTCAAAGGTGGGTCTCTTATCCTTCAGATGTAAGTAAACTGCTGAGTCTAGACCTGAAGCTGTCCTTTCTGGGGCCATGCGTTTGTGTAGAGGTTGTTTCGTTTCTTGCACTGGACAGCATACACGAGATTATACGTGGATGAACCATCTCTAAACACGAGAGGAGGTCTGTGACACCACTTATTCAGCCTGGAGATCCAATACAATACTGTCCCTTCATCCCTTCCTAACAAATGCTTACATTTGTGAACAATCCCGAATCACTGGGCCATTTCAGGCCGAACCAGCCGGTTTTCCAGAATTTGTATTTTTCCATTTCTTATGTTCAACTTTAAATGATCTGCGACCGCACATTGAAGATATCTTCAACCAAGTCCAGTTGCCCTTGATTTTAAACTTCGTTGGATATATTTACATTGCATTGCATGTTTTCTTTTTGTGCAAATAAACCTTTCTCAAGGTTTCTTTCAAAAAGTGACAGGGACAAAATCAGCTATTTAAAAAAGTGGCGGGGACATGTCCCCTGCGTCCCCAGTGTAAGTGTCACCCACCAAAGCAAATTCCTTGTAAGAGTAAAAACTACTTGGCAGATTCTCATTCTGTTATTAAACTGCAGTGTTGCCACTTTTATGTCATTAGATATCATAGATAATCAAATGCGAGTTTACTCGAGAGCTCCATCTCAACCCTCTAACAAAATGCTTAAGTTAAAAACGTGTGTTGTCACCACATGGTTGGACTTTAAATTCCCCTCCTGTGCACAGTTTTCACCATCACTGCTCCTTACCGCCCCCTGCTGTACCGTACGAGGTAGTGCATTGCCTTATATGGGCACAGTCAGACATCCGGCCGGCCCCGCCTCCTCCTCCAGGCTGCAGCCGGGGATGGTCGCAGGAATCGGGATACAGTCAGCTGTGAGTGGACCCCACGAGCACCGACAGGAGCAGAGCCCGGCCGGGAGGTCCTGACCCGGAGCTTCACACGGTACATTCACCTGCTGACATGGACTAACAGGAGCGGAGACAGTCAGCTTCAAGCCCGGGGTGAGTTAATCCGAAATAAAAACAAACAGGGAGATAAAATAAAGTTAGTAAACAACAGCAAGTACACAAACTCTGTTAGCTTGTTTGCTAACTTTTCCACCGTTATAGCCGTTAGCAGCACAGACGGGTCACAGAAACAGGACTTTTCCTTTATTGTTTAGGTGTTTAGGGTGTAAAGTTTAAATGGTTGGATTAACTGGAGCTGTGAGAGTTAGCTTCAAGCACTGGGAGAGCTAGCTAACTTTAAATGAATAAACACCGGAGAGGAAAGTTGTGTTAGCTTGTTCGCTCACTTTACACTGCTCTCTAATGAGCTAACAGCATTAGCCTTTATCTCCACAGCACATTTATTCAACGTGTGTCTAAAGCTGGTGCATAGTTCAAGTTACTTACGTCGGTAATTTGGGTGTTAACCACCTAGTTAACAGACTAATACGCTGCCTTCACGGACGCCTCGTAGGTTTCTACTTCCTCTCCTTCTTGCAGTCATTTTGTCGTCGTTAAACGGTTTATTAAACAAATAATCAGCCGGCAGTTAGTGTACGACTAATCTGGGAGCTGATTACTAGTTTGTGCCATTGATAAAATAGGCTAAAGTTATGTTAGGGGAAGGTCCAGATCAAAAACCACTATGCCTAGAGCTGTCAGATCTGGACTAGATTGTTTCAGAGAGGCTGAAGAGTCTTTAAGTCACAGTTTCAGGTTTGTGAAACCTTTGTTCTATATGTGAAGACCACATTAAACCGGGTCCAGCTCCCACACCACCATGGAACTATGTTTTAAAGAAACTTTAGCCTCTCTGGGACCTTCTAGTCCAGATTTGACACTGGTTTTTGAACTGGATCTGGTTTAGTGTGGTGCACATGCTGAAAAAACAACAACACAAATTGTCCTTTTTTCTCAAAATTTTTAGCCTCTCTGGGACATATTTTTTGATCTGGACCTGGGTTTCCCTTAACTTTCCCCTTAAGCCTTCAACTGCCAAATCGGAAGTTAACTTCAGCGTTGGAAACATGTCATCCATCCATCGTCAACCGCTTATCCTGCGTACAGGGTCGCGGGGAGCTGGAGCCAATCCCAGCTTACATCGGGCGCAAGGCGGGGTGGAAAGATGTCAACGTTTTCTAATTACATCGTCCTAAATGTTATATTATTGTATCTTAAAGACTTGAGGTTCTCGCCGCAACATTTGTCATTTTGTTTGACATTTTATAGTCTAGCAACCTGTGACTTGAACTACTTTAATTGTGATTAAATGTGTTTCTGTTCACCCCCTGTCAAAATTCAGCACAACAATACAATGGAAGAGATTGTACTTTCTGAATTGTCTGGTGGATTCATTTGATATTAGGTATGTTAGCATCATGCATTCTGGCTGCAGATTAGATTTAAAATATCCACAAATGCATCAACCCTTTTGTTGCTTTGAATTTGGATCCTGTTGTACCATAAATAATAAGTTATTCAAGACAAAACCAAATCAGGAGCCTGTTAAAATCTTTACGATTATACATATTATATAACTGCTTTAGTCGGTTGAAATCAGTGTTATTTTAAGATGTCATAACTACTTTATCAGCTCTTAACCGCGCTTTAGTTCAGATTTGTCCTGGCACTTTTGTGTCCCAGAGTTGTAGGGAAGATAAACTCTCGCCGATGACTTCCAGGTGTTAGACGTCATTAAACTGAGAGACACCTGATGTGTTGAAAATGCTGAATCTCTGACTGAAGGATCCCGTGGCAGGCAGCCCCGCAGACCAAAGCCTCGCTGAGTGTTTTGTTTTCCTGGCTGCAGGCTGACTTAGCAAACCGCTGCATTATTAATGTGTGACATGATTTCCATTCAGAGAGGCTGCCAGCTCTGTAACTGGAGCCAGCGCAGCCGGCTGCCGTCTCTGCCGGGGTTTGTTTCAGATGTAGATCAGTGTGTCTGAACAGCTGAAATGTGATGACTATTTTTTTCTTAGTGAAACTGGATTGTGGAAGTGACCGCCTGATTGACCTTAAGACACTGAGACATAATAATAGAGTAGACTCTTATGGTGTCCCATAGTATTGACCTCTCTATACATCGATTACACAAAGCGTTAATCAGGCCCAGGGAAATCCTCTCTGTAGTATATCTTAACAAAGGCTCCCCTTAAGGCAGTGCTAGATAGTAGGGGTGCGGGAAAAAATCTGTACAGCACAGTATCGCAATATTTTCTGTGGCATTACTGTATCAATACACGGACACCAAGTATCTGTCTTTTATTATATAAATTGTACATGAGAATTTTACTTTTTTGCACTATAATAATAAAATCAATTGCTTTTTCAGTCCACTAGAAAAAGAGTTTTCCTTTGGGAACACAATCTGAAGTTGAAAAAAAGGTAATAATACATTGCAATATGTTTAAAATCGCAATAATATTGTAGCGTGACATAAGTATGGTGATAATATCGTATCGTGGGGCCTCTGGTGATTCCCACCCCTAGTGGAAAGTAACAAATACATTTACCACTACCGCATATAAAAAGCAAAGACACACTAAAGTCAGGCTGCAGCTAAGGATGATTTTAGTATTCAAAGCTTCTATAGATTATTTCAACGATTCATCGATGCGTCGTTTAAGAAGTGCCTGTGCTTGGCGGCGGCGGCGCCCCCCTGGTAACGGGATCAGATAGGTGATAGATGTTTATTGATCCTTTCGCAAATTCATAGCGTGTCGTACAGCAAACATCAGACCAACAACCAGACAACCGCTTTACAAACACAAACATCACCCGAGTGCTCTACAAGTTAATCTAAAGGCTCAGACTACACGACCTTCAGCGTCGCCAGATGGACGTGAGGTTCACACTACACAACTTGCCGTCTTGTGACGGGAGTCTTGAAGTTGTTCACACTACGTGACCGCTCGGTGACAGGGGGTCACACGCTACACGAGCCGACAGCGGTTCTGTCACCAGACGCTGGACTCCAAACAACATTATGTCAAGAGAACACCTGAAATGTCAAACGTGAAATGCGAAATGAGCGATCCTGCACACGAAACAGCTGTTGTTTGTTATGGGTGAAAGGATGGATCAGCACACGCAGGACACCCAGTTACTGTGAGGAAAATAAGTATTTGAACACCCTGCTATTTTGCAAGTTCTCCCACTTAGAAATCATGGAGGGGTCTGAAATTGTCATCGTAGGTGCATGTCCACTGTGAGAGACATAATCTAAAAAAAAATAATCCAGAAATCACAATGTATGATTTTTTAACTATTTATTTGTATGATACAGCTGCAAATAAGTATTTGAACACCTGTCTATCAGCTAGAATTCTGACTCTCAAAGACCTGTTAGTCTGCCTTCCTGCTGGGGAAAGGAAAAACATGTTTATAGAACATAACACACCATCACAGCAACCTCTCAGCTTCCATCGTGGTTGAAATGCAGAGAGAAACCTGTGGAAAAGACAACATATAGGACGTGTAAGACCAAATTCTTCTTGTTTTGTGAGCCAACGCTGCCACCTTGTGACAAAAAATTGTCATTAGCTTTTGTTTGCACTGAAAATCCATGTACATTAAATACTAGTTTCTGTTAATAAGATACACCAAGATAAAACTGTTGCAGTCCAGTAAAACAGTCCTGCAATAAATGATATCTTCATGAAGCTAGAAATATTTTTTGTAATTTGTAAAATGTCCTGTTCATGTGTTTTTTATCTCTTAATCTCCAAAATGGCTGTTTCACAGAATTAGCTGTGATTTATAATAATACAAATGTTGGTGTGATGCATTTCCATTTATAAAATTATTCTAATTCTTTGCACAATCTGGGAAATTTACCTACAAAATATTTTATTTCTGGAGCCACTGAAATCAAATTAAACGAGGTACCAACCAGCCCCACTGAAGACTGGACCGCTAATCATTTTAACCACAAACCGTATAAGGTCGTAACTGGTTCCTGCGTGCTGCGTTCATGGATGTTCTGAACGTAGTTCACCATCACGTCTCAGTTAGAGTGGAAGAAGCTGCAGTCGAGTACAGATGTTTAATAATGTCTGGCCTCCACAGATTCAGGTCCTTTCTGTAAAGAAGAAAATGTAATTATAACAAAAGCCAAACTAAACGGAACAACCACCTGACCTGCCATGAGATCGACCTTTACGAAGCTTATAATTTTCAGTCTCTGCTGATGTTCGGTCTGAGATGTGTTAAATAATATAATATGTGTAATGTCTTCTTAAGTTTCAGTGCCTCCATATTAATGAGCTGCTAGTTGACAAAAACAAGCAGAGAAGCCAAACACTTTAGAAAATTTACCAAACGTTTTATTCATCAGAGTAGCTACGACCTATGATTGTGCAGCTGCTCTTGTCACATCTTTGCCTCTTGCTTGGCCAAAGCCGTTACTGCTCCCTTTTCTAAAACTAATTACACATCTACAAAACTCAGCACACATTTAGAAATATCACATTCTGCACTGAAACACACACGAACACAGGAAGAACGTGCAAACTCCCCACAGAGAAGCCCATGGCTGGATTCAAACCTGCCTCACGAATTGAAATTTATTCATTATCAGGATGTAATACTCACTCACACACAGACAACACGATATCACGATAAAAACATTTCATATCATTCGATATCGATAATTATCACGATAAATATCTAATCATTTTGTCTTTGGCTGATTTTTGCTCCTGAATGTAAATAGAAGAAATTGTTTATGGTCAGAATGTGACGCTTGATGCCAAACAGTGGATCACTTATAAAGTCTGAGGTAGAAGAATTAAAACTACTATAACTATACCTACTACTGTATAAGTACTACTCTACACCACTATGTAACACGCGGCGTAATGCTCGCCTAGTGGCTAGTGTAATGTTAGAGACTCTCCAGGCAGTCACTGGACATAAAGCTGTGATGTAGAGACATGTAAAGTTTTAACTGTGCACTGTGAAAGATAAATGTCATACAGATCAGTAACGTCCCAGAACTGTCCTGAAAAACAATTTGAACTGTCCTGAAGTTAATGTAAAGCGTCCTAAAATCAAAATGTTGTTTCTTTCTTAAAGAAGTTACAGTAACTTCCTGTTTTATGGCAAATCATCGATTTTGGACGCCATGCCACGGGCACGCCGTTCCACGAAAACCCACCGTTCGCACAACTTTTAATCGTCAATGGGTTTAGATTGCACAGCACAAATCTGAAGTCGGTCGGACTAAATCCCCAGGAGGAGTTTGTTAAACTACAAAGTGTGTCAATCGCAAAAAAATACCATTAAATCCAAAATGGCCGACTTCCTGTTACACGTACCACAGAAATTTCATACACGTAGGTTAAACTTTGTACAGGGGCTGCTCTGTAGGGGGCGCTAGCGAGCCATTTTGCCACGCCCATGAGCGAAACCCATAAAATACTAAAATGATTTGCTGACTCTGAATTATGTGCAAAGTTTGGTGAGTTTTCGAGTATGTTTAGGCCCCCAAAATTGAGGTTACTCTCAGTTTCACACGTTTCGTGCTCGGGCCCTAATAAGGTTTAACTCGGGAGAGAGTGGGCTGAAATAGCAGACACACAGTTTCCAGTCTTCCAGCGGAGCGCTGATGTTGTTAAAAAGAAAATAAGTCCATTGACAGTGCTATGAAGACACTATTGTGTCCAAAGAGCAGATGAAGCTGGTGGCTCCTCCTGTGCTCTTTCTCTGACCCCGGCAGAAACCCGTAGGCTACTCTTCTCAGGAAAGTTAGGCTAATAATGACGGTTAAAAACAAGGCTAATAATAATAAAGGCTGCTAACGTCATAATGTTTTTCATGTAATTACTTGAATTTAACGATCTCCTCCTATCAAAGACTTGCATTAGGATCCTTTTCTTACATCAAGCCTTTACATTATGTTATATAATGAGACATTATCTAGCGTTACATCGCCTACAGCCTTTCTACTAACGAGTCTTTTGTCACCAAACGCAACGGTAGAATCAATTAAGTTCTGCCTGTTGACAATTTGTTGATTTTTTTGTAAAAGCAATTAAAGAGCAACGAGTCAGCAAACACTAGTTGGTGGAAAAGTAAAAGTTCTCCTGAAGTTAGGATGCTTCTGTAAAACAGGAACATCGACTCAGGAACTGTTCATCTGTAACGGCCTTTTTCCTAAATCAGTTCCTAACACGTATTACCATGGTTACCAAGCAGTTAGGATAGGATCTGCCCGTTAGGACCTTTCTGTAATACGGCCCCTGGACTTTCTTTCAGCAGGTTTTCTGCTCATGTTCAAAACTTTCTGCACATTCAGAATCTCGCATATCTTTGTTCTCTTATATGTCCAGAAGAAAATTGTAATATTTGGAGACTAACATCATTATTTAATGAGAATTCATGATATATTTAAAAAGTCTACCTGACCGATACTCTTTTGTGCTCCCCTTCAAGACTGTGCTGGTAGAAACTGCCACAGACATCTCAGCGCAGATGTTAACTTCTGCAGCTCACAGCCCCAAACAGAGCCAGATCTTCAGTGCTTCAGGTTTCAGATGTCTGCTGCTAGCGTCTCAGCGTCTCAGCGTCTCAGCGCGCGGGTTTCTTGTTCTGTGTTCGCTGGGCGGAGATGATTCTCGTCTACATTATCGCAATATAGATTTGTTTTTCACTCTTGGAGAAGATTGATGTGTGGCGCTAAACGCGAGCCTACACGGCGCGATTGAGAGGTCAGCAAGCCGTTTGTGCCTGAGAGGACAGATTGGACCTGTACCGCGGGAGCAGGTGAGCAGGTGAGGCCCACACAATCCTTTTCGTCCTAGAGGCGTCCTACAGAATATTTCTCTTTGTCCCAAACACATTTTCTATCGTCCCCAGGACGACAGGACGCCGTGAGTCTCGAGCCCCGCCTTCCCGTACATCATCTGTGATGGATTTGTAACCCAAACCCAGTATAATTTAGTTTGATCTTAAAACCCAAACAAAAACTGAACTGGATCCGAGCAGCTTTTAGATGATCAATAATCGTAACTGTCGGTTTATAGAAATAAAAAGTGAATGACTATCTGTTCCCCTGTTGCGTCTTTAGCCCCTCCCCCCCCTGCGGAGGCCAGGCGGCTTCATGGCGACCCGGCTGCTGGACCGTCTGAAGCGCTCGTTGTTTAAAGATGGTCAGGGAGCGGGACCTGAGCACGAAGCAGGAGGCGGACAGGAAGAGGAGGAGTTTAAAGAGGAGAGCTGGGAGGCGGAGCTGGAGGAGGAGGAGGAGTGTGTGACTGATCGGCTCGGGGGGACGCTGTGCTTCGACAGCGCCGGAGGAGGAGCCGAGGACGGAGCCGAGGGGTCGGGGCCGGACAGTGACTCCGACTTCCTGGGAGAGTCGATGGAGGAGGGGCTCAGCAGCACAGGTGAGGTGGTGTTCTGTTCATTTAACCATAACTGGATTGTAAAAAATGGCGGTTGTGATGTGACGTCACCCGCAGGTTTCTAAGAAGCTGTTTTGAAGCTCAAAGTGGGCGGGGCAGGTCGTCGGCATCTTGGCAGCGTGTCAGTCCTGGATAACCAAAACTGGGCAATGAGGCGGGTCGTGGGTGGAGCTTAGGTGACCGGTTGCTGAAACCACGGCCGCCTAGCTCGACTTTGCCAGGCTTAGTTAATGCTATGAAAGCTAAAGAAGCTAAGAAGGCTAGATGCTACTCTGCGTTGCTCGCCGGTGTCTTGCCAAAAAGCGATCGTCGTCCATAAATTGATTGTATCGCCACAACATAACCTTACAGATGTTTTAATCTGGATGAAACAGTCATAACATGCAAATGCACATAACTTTACGTAGGTGGTAATAGCAAAGGTATGTGTTTGTGTAACCTAATAATCACAGTAATGGCCAAAGGAGTGTTTTTATAGCATAATCAGATATTTATGTGATTATAGGCGATACTGTAGTATTCTGTTCTGCTCTGTGTCCTGGATAATAACTAATCAAGTCCTTTTTAGCAGTTTAAATATCTTCAGAGGCGATCAGTTATTTGCAGATGGTCAGTTATTGGCGTTGGACTGGCTGGAGGGGGGGGAAAAAAAGAAGCTCAGAGATTAAGAAAAGATCATCCTGAAGTCAGACAGCAGACAAAGGCAGACTGTCTGCACATGACTGATACAAGCAGTCTGTGTTTGCTGTTGAATAACACGTCTGTTTGCATCTGTGGTTCTTGCGTTTGGTCCAGTGATTTACATTTATTCATTTTAGCCGACGCTTTGTATCCAAAGCGACTTACAGTTGCCATATATGTCAGAGGTCGCACGCCTCTGGAGCAACGAGGGGTTAAGTGTCTTGCTCAGGGACATATTGGTGGATGTGTCACCGTGGGGAGTTGAACCCGGGTCTCTCACACCAAAGGCTGCGCCGTCACCACCCCGACGATACTGTTAAAAAATAAAAGAAGTTCGTTCTGACTCTGCTTCTTTTTGTCTTTGCAAGAAATACACGTGTGTAGTAGATCGTCATGTGACCCGTCTCTCACCTCTCCTGTGTAGACACCAGTCCCGTGGGCGTGTCTCCGGTAGCCCCCTCCCCCTCCTCCTCCTCCTCCTCCTCCCTGCTGACTCGGCAGCTTCAGGAGAGCTGGAGGAGCCTGCGTGGACTCGGAGGAGGAAGCCCCGCCCCCGCTGGGAGGCGGCTGACGGACAACTTGTTGTTTGAGGTGACGGACGCCAGCGTGGTGCAGGACAGCTCCTCTAAATATGTGGTGAGTTCAAACAGCCCGGGAGTGGGGCGGGTAGAGACCAGAATGTCTAATGCAGGTCATGCAGGAACTCAGGCGCTTGAGCTGTGATTAAAATAGCTTTAAATAATGTTGTCTTCAGTTTTAATGACCTTTTTAGCTTTGTAGTTTTAATATTTCTTCTTGACGTTCCCTCCAGACATTTCCATCAGCTCTACGCAGGGTTTGATGTGATCCTACTGATCTTAAACACTAGTGGGATTTATCAAGTTTGGTGTCAGTCCTTCAGAATAAAAGAGCGAGGGCTCCTTCTAGAGCAGCTGTTGAGAGATAAAGATGAAAATGAAGCACAGTATTGCCTGTGTCTAACATCCAGTTATATTTACATAATAAAACAAGGATTGTGTGGTTTTTATTTTTTTTTGTATTTTATTGTCTTTGTTTCGTAGTAGACAGCAAAGACGGCCACAAAAAATTATATTTGTAATTCTTATTATGTAATACATCAAGATCGTCACACAGTTGAAAGGAAATTATGAGCCAGTGAGGAAAAAAGTTGGGGTTTTGTCGTTGAGAATTGATCAGACTCAGCTTTATTAGCCTTGTATGAGAACGCATATAAGGAATGTGACTTCGGTTCTCAGTTGCTATCAATGTAGACAATCAAACTGATTAAGTCACTTTTACGATTGAACATGAATGCACCACTTCAGCAGACTTCTATCAATCTGCACTTTTAGCTTCATTTCCAGCCAGTGTGACATTTAAAACATCACAAACACCCATTCATCAATACCAAAGAAAAGCCCTGACACTTCCTGAATATGCAGAAAAGCCTGAAACAGAAAGATTTTTAATTAAATGACCACACAAGAGCTCCTACAGAGGAGAAGATTTAGCACTGTCTCTCTCCAGCTGTACACCATCCATGTGATCCAGTCTGGCGGCAGCGATAAGACGCCAGCCATCATCACACGCAGATACTCCGACTTCCAGCGGCTCCACGCCACGCTGCGCCGTAACCACGGAGTCCAGATGGAGCGTGTCTGTTTCCCACGTAAGTAGAATTGATATCATCTGTCCTAACATGAAGCCATGTTGTTTTTAACACTCAGAGAATCACACTGTTAGCAGGGGTAAGGCCAATTCATACAACGTGCGGCGGGTCACTGCAATGACGCCGCCAAAACACTAGTTGGTGGAGGCGTATCTGTGTTCCACTGTGCTGCGGTTCATCTTCGTTGCTGTAGGCTACTACAAACTGTGGCGACTGAACCTGAGCGGATCATGTTTGAGTCGGAGCTGATCGATGTTGAACGGTGAAATTACTAAAACGCAGAAACGAGAGAAGGCATCGGAGGAGACGGTGTGTACGACCCTTAGACCGGTCGAGGCAGAGGCCGAGCCGGAAATGCGATGCTACCAAGCCGACCAATCATAGTTCTTGCCGTCTGCTTTTTGGGGAGGTGCGCAGCTATGGAGGAATGATCCTGACAAATTCAGAAATAAATTCAGAAATAAATAAATGCTTAATAAATAAATAAGCATCTGATTAAATGCACAAAAAAATAAGTAGATAAATAAATGTAGGCAGTAATTAAATTATACAATAAAAAAATAAATGTATACATCTATTTTAATTAGCTTCTTTATTTATTCACCTTTGTAATAATTGTTTATTTATTTATTGTCCGTTATAATATATGACGTGTGAGTTATAGTTGACCTCTGACTGCTGAGAAGTTCACCCCTTGAGACACAGCCCCTCCTCATTTGCATAATAAGGCAGAAATGCATAGAGAAATGTAAAGAGGGGCAGAAATAAATACCGTTGTGGAAATAAATAGGGTAGAAATGCAAAAAATAATAAAGAATAAAACAGACAAAAATATTAAAACACACATAAATAAATACATTTAAAAAATAATTTATTAATAAATAAAGTTGAAGATTATAACGGGCAATAAATAAATAAGGTAATTATTACAAAGATGAATAAGTAGAGAAGCTAATTAAAATAGATGTATACATTTATGTCTCCTTGTATAATTTAATTACTGCCTGCATTTATTTATCTACTTTATTTTTTGTGCATTTAATCGGATGCTTATTTATTTATTGAACATTTATTTATTTATGAATTTGTCAGGATCAGTCCTCCATACGCATCAGGATACGGGGTAGATTTGACACAGAAGTACAAACTAGCCTGTAGTTACAACAGAGAGACCTCATTAAAAAAGAGGTTTAATGCGGAAGGTGTGACCTAAAGGTAACTTTGCTGCCATGCCTGTTTCCTATTTACTGCTGCAGTTATAAATCACTTAATCCTGACCTACTTCCTGTTTTTAATCTCTGCAGGAAAGAAGCTGCGTAAGAACTTCACCGCGGAGACGATCGCCAAGCGGAGCCGGGCCTTTGAACAGTATCTGTCTCACCTGTGTTCCCTGTCTGCCCTGCAGGGGGCGCTGTGTGTCCGACAGTTCTTCTACCTGACTGACCTGCAGACCGGACAGGTGCTCATCAGGTAACCGATACACTGATATAAACTTTGATTCGAACCTCAGACTAATCTGAGCATCAGAGCTGTCCAGTGAGAATGTGGATCTGCCTCTAACAAGTTAAAACTTAAGTTTATGCTCAAGCTGAATATCGATATTGCGTGTGACACATTTTTACTTTTCTCTATGATAAATTAAATAGCTTCAGGTTTAATTGAACTTGAGAAGGTTTCACAGGACCAGAATGTGTTTTGGCCCGTCCCTCCAAACCGATCACCTTGTCCCCCAGAAAGAATGACAAAAATAATATAATTAGGTTATATATTCCCCCAAAAAACACAAAAAACCCCCCGCAAAATAAAGCTGCTTTAGAGATATTTATAGTATTTTAATACCCTACTGTGGCACTACATTTATTGTCAATTGTCCGCGTAAATAATTGCACATACATTTAAATATATAGTATTTCTTCAACTCTTTGATATTGATCCAATTTGAATTTTTTTCTTATTGAATTGTTGAGTTTTTATTCATCCACCACATGATTACACACTGTTTCTGATGACGAATGGCACTTGAATCGTATAACACAGAATTCAGAAAAGGTTCAATGGAAAACATGCAATTTGGGGGAAAAAAATAATGAGTAATCTGGCAAAAAATTTAAACAAATTTCATGTGGCTCTATCCAAGATCTCATCGCCCAATATCTGAATGTAGCATAGCTGTTCTAAGCTCCATCAGGAGTTAATAACTTTAGCAGTAAAAATGTTTTAAGAGGAACGGAGAATGTGGCGAACCTAAACAGATAAAGTATCCCTAACATGCCCGCTCCACGACACTAGCAGTTTCAGGGTCTACCAACCCCACTTGGAAAAACAAATCCTAGTGAAAACACTGGACTATGAGTTGAAATTTGCTCCCATAATATAAATTTTACATAATATAAATTAGCCGAAGTGCGTCTTTGACTTTTGTTCCTACAGTCAACTCTGGGTCCCATTTTTATTCAAAGCTTCTATGTTTTGAATTTTAACGAATGAGCTAAAACTGAACTGAGCTGTATGTAACTGTTGATCCTAATTAGTAGTGGTGCAAAACTCACAGTTCGGATCATGTCCCGTTTTTTTTCGGATCAGCAAAACAAAAGGTTTGGGTAAAATTCATTATATATATTTTTGTGCGCCTGACCTCTGCCGACAGCAGTGAACGTAACGCTCCAGTTCACATCAAAGGGAAAACGAAATGAAGCCCTCAGCTGTGTGGGAGCACTTTTAAACTGAGTGATGACAGCAGGAGTGTGGAAGTGATGCCGTTTATTCATTTTACAATTGATTAATTTCTTTACAAATCAAAACAGTCAAATTTCCCACATTTCAAAATTAATTAGTAGCTGAACTGTTGGCTGGAAACAAACAACAACATATTGAACACATCTAAATAATTATATGAGGCCGATTGTAGAAGAAGAGCATTTAGTTGCAATAATAAAAGTGAATTTTGCATAATAACGTGTTGGTGCAGTGGATAAGACGCATGCCTTTGGTGGGAGAGACCCGGGTTCAGATCACTGTTAAACATCAATATGTCTGATAGGGCTGAAACAATTCATTACTAAATTGCATCGACACAAATTCTTTGTGTAATCCATATAACTACATAGCACACTGTTTTACATGGACATTTATTACCGTCGCACATCGCGCTTAAACTGTTGCCGTCAACACGACGTGATTATGATGGCGCTGTTTGCAAAGTGGAGGAAGAGAGTGAAAATAGCGAGGGACGAAGAAGAAAGTGTCCAAAGTCTGGGGTTATTTCCATCTAAAGAAAACAACACAACTCTGTAATGTCACAGTGCGTCCACCGTAAAATGAAACTTAATGTCGCCTCGGCAACAGCACGACGGCGCCTGATCAGAAAGCAGCCGTGAGTTTGTGTTGTAAGGTCGCAGTCATGAGTTAACTGGGTGTCGGGGAGCTGCACCTCAGTATAACTTGTAGCACTCGGGTGATGTTTGTGTTGGTAAAGCAGTTGTCTGGTTGTTGGTCTGACGTTGTGTATGTTACTTTAAAAAGTAACAGTGGCAGTGAAGGTTTTTCTCACACTGTGATGGTTAAACTTTGTAATCAATCCACAGTTCACAGGGGGGTATTAAAAAAAAATAAAAAAAAGGATCTTCTAAATCTGTACAGATCACGTATCAACCACAATGTGTTGCACCACTACTAACTAACGTAGCTTAAAGATTTATTCTACCAGCAGTAACCCTCAATAACGTACCCGACAAATAAGCAGTATTTAATAGAGAAGCACTATCAATAAAGAATCCTACAGATAAACGTCCTGATTCAGAGATGAGGTAAAGAAATCCTACAGGCAGAGAGCCTGAATGCTTCCTGAGCCAATGAATGAACGGAAACTAAAACAGCTGGTTAGTTTGAATTCATATTTGATTTCTGAAATTAAAATGTCGTTAAAAGTTGAAACTTTGACTAATTTCAGCTGCAAATGTCCTATAAAATCATTTCTTGAACCATTAGGTTTATTTTTAACTCCCCTGTGAAAGAGTCGCAGCTTCAGTGTTTGGTGTTTTGAGTTTGTCTTGTCTCGTTGAGGGTGGGACGTTACCAGGATGCCTTGGGGCCGCTGCTCAATGCCAAGAGGCTGCAACACAAACTGGGCTGGGAATGTTATTATGACAACCAGGCTCAGGCCCCGCCTCCGGCCTCCTCCCATTGGTTCTTCACCCTGGTGGGGCTGTCGTGGTGTTTCCAGGAAGTGGACCAGCTGGAGGAGGCGCGTGATCACTGTGACCACGCCCTTCGTGTTCTGACCCCGGCCGAGACTCAGGCCGACACAGCAGAGGAGAGGCCCCTTCCACGCGAGGATAAACCCGTGTCGCAGCCGCATGTCGACAGGCCACACCCCCTCCTGATGCCGCTGCTGCGGGTGGTGGTTCGGCTGTCGTGGCAGACGGGGAGAGACAAGCGGCATTGGGAAGAGCTTCTGCACCAGCTGGAGGAGCGGTGGGTGGGGCTAGACAATCAGCCGACCATCAAAGAGTTTCTAGTCAAACACAACCTGGAGGAGAGCGAGGGGGAGGGCTAGGACACACACACACACACACACACACACACACACACACACACACACACACACACACACACACACAGCAGAGTTCAATCACTACAACAGGAAGGCTGCAGAAAAAACATCTGCGCTTCCGAGAATAAAGTTTAAATATTTGGGAAAAAGTTGTCATTTCAAGAAAAAAGACGAGAAGAGCTTAAGTCCCTCCCACTTCTGCTTCCGCCCAATGGGAATGTACGGTAGCTTCAGTAGCATTAACTTCAGTCATTGAGAGAAACGGGGACTTTTGGTGTTTGTGGTCTTTCTAATTTTCACAGTCTTCAACAGTTTTACGACAAACTTTCTTGACATATATTCTCTTTTAAACTGACAAACATCGTGTGTGTAATTCAGGACACAATTCAAACTGGATAAAAATTCAGTTGGCTCTCAACGTAAATCTTTTTCCCCAAAATAAGGTCCCATGTTGGTCCAACGGAAGGGGAGGGACTTACGCTCTCTATAGTATTACTACAGGTCAAAATCTTCAGAGTGCCTGTTAAAAGACTTCCCGCAGCTACAGGTCGCACAGTAATATTCAGTTCACGCCTCTACAGTTTATCACAGAGTAAAGGAATTAATGCACAACTTTCCAAATCCACCTTTAGGATCGTCTCTTTGGCACTTTTCAGGATTATTTCCTGGATATGCGATGCTGTGGTTAACATTTCAGTTTAGATTTGAGGGAACAAAATCATTTTATTGCACTTTTTTAATCATAAATGTGTATTGGATGTTTGTAACATACAGCAGGCGATTTAAATGCAAGCTTTGTCAGTATGTAATAATCCGCTGTTAAAACAGAGAATTAAATCATCTCTAAATCTTTTATCAGCTGGAATCACAAAAGCACTGATTGAGCTTTTCTCCTCCTGCACGGGTCAGCTGACAGACATGTGTCTGACTCGATCATTAGGTTCGTGTTTTCAGGGGAAAATAATGATAAATGCTTGTTTTGTTTTGTTTTTTACATGGATTGGATGACTAGATAAAGGGATTAAAATAGATCTGAGGACTTAATTTCACTTAAATTTACATAAGCAAAGTCAAAATGTCATTTTGAAGCTGGTTTTCTGACTCTTCTTAGCGGAAGAACAGACTTACTCCTGGTTTAAAACAAGTGATTTAAATAAGGGACGAAACATTAACACATAAGGGAAATTATAAAGCGAGGCATTGGACAGACATTATAGACTATGCACATGTACAGATTTATGCATTAACCCTGTGATCACTTCATAGTAAGCTGCTGACCGGAGGACATAACCCCATATTTTAGTTTAGTTGACATCTAAACTCTGCATTTATTAATTTAAAGGCTTTTTTTTTTTTTTACCTGGAAAAAGGTAAAATAAGGCTCGTACGACAGGTCTGGTGCCTCAGAAGTGCCTCAGAAGAACAAATCTGTTCAAGCATTAATTAATATTCCTGGTAGTTTGGACACAGATGGAAAACAACAAATATTTTTAGCAGTTAAAGGAATCTAATGAGTATTGCTGTCATTTCAATGCTGTGGCTTATTCCTACAACAATTTCTCCTCAATCGTTCGTAAGTGCCACTGAAGAATGAATAGTTTGTTCAAGTGTTTCTTGCACGAAGCCCATTATATTCCCAAAAGTAGTTTGGACGTAAAGAAACAACAAATATTTGAGCGGATAAATTAATCTGATGTGGTTCAGACCCGCAAACTGAATGTAAAATCCAGCTTTGGCTTGTTTCTGCATGTGTTTTTATTTCAATGCTGCACAATTGTGAAATCCTTAGTAACTCTTGGTGTTTTTACGTGGACTAAAGGTCAAACTCTGAGGGGCCTTTAGGGACATTATTCACAATTAACCTGCATTTACATGTACTTTTCCTCACATACATATATGAAGCCAGACTCATTCACATATTGTACCGTGTTGTGTATGTGAGAGGAAAAATACATGTGCATTGTAATTCTGAATAATTTCCCCAACAGCCCCTCATATAAAACGGTCACTCGTTATTTTATATTTCATATGCATGGTAATTATTACCAATGTCCCGAACGGCTCCTCACACGAATGGGTCGCTTTTCATTTCATATTTTAGATGCATGGTAATTAAAAATAATGCCCATAACTGCCCCTCATATTAAATGGTCACTTTTCTTTTCATATGCATGGTAGTTATAAATAATTTCTGTAACTGCCCCTCATATTAAACGGTCACTTTTCTTTTCATATTTCATATGCATGGTAATTAAAAATAATGCCCATAACTGCCCCTCATATTAAATGGTCACTTTTCTTTTCATATGCATGGTAGTTATAAATAATTTCTGTAACTGCCCCTCATATTAAATGGTCACTTTTCTTTTCATATGCATGGTAGTTATAAATAATTTCTGTAACTGCCCCTCATATTAAATGGTCACTTTTCTTTTCATATGCATGGTAGTTATAAATAATTTCTGTAACAGCCCCTCATATTAAACGGTCACTTTTCTTTTCATATTTCATATGCATGGTAATTAAAAATAATGCCCATAACTGCCCCTCATATTAAATGGTCACTTTTCTTTTCATATGCATGGTAGTTATAAATAATTTCTGTAACGGCCCCTCATATTAAATGGTCACTTTTCTTTTCATATGCATGGTAGTTATAAATAATTTCTGTAACTGCTCCTCATATTAAATGGTCACTTTTCTTTTCATATTTCAGGTGTGTGGTAATTATAAATAATGTCCCTATCAGCGGACAAACTGTCACTTTTCATGTGCACTAAATTTCTTCAGACTCATTTGAATTGACGTAATGTAACGCACACATCTCCAGTTCACATGATGTGATGTACAGCATGTGAGGGGGTTTTGTTGTTTTAGTTTTTTTGCGTTTGTTGTGTTTCAGTCGGAGAAGTTTGTGTGTTCGGCTGCATTTCCACTGAAACCCAAACAGAATTTAAAACTGCAGTTTACAACAAGCAGCTCTTATCTGTCAAAGGGTCACCGGTGGAGATGCAGCCTGTGTGGAGTATTTAAAATGTGGATCGAACTGTAGCGGCGATACTGCTTCATAGAGCTTTATACAAGTATATTTTATGGAATAAATTTGTTACAAATTTTGGATTTCTGTTCTCATTATTCTTTTGTGTTTGACCTTCAGTGGAAACCAATGACGGGCAGCTGACGTCGAGGCTGTAACACCGTGTTGTTTTCAAATTACAGAAATGTGAGGCCTTGCGCCGTGGAAAGGAGTTTTTGCTCTCTCTCTCTCTCGTCTCCTTTCCTTGTCTTTTCTCTCGTCTCCTCTCTCCTTTACTCTTCTCCTTGTCTCCTATCTCTTGTGTCCTCTCGTCTCCTCTCATGTCTTCCCTCTTGTCTCCTCCATTGTCTACTCTCGTGTCCTCTCTTGTCTCCACCCTCCTTGTCTCCTCTTCTTGCCTCCTCTCTTGTCTCCACCCTCTTTTCTCCTCCATTGTCTTCCCTCTTGTCTCCTCCGTTGTCTCCCCTCGTGTCCTCTCTCTTGCCTCCTCTGTTGTCTCCGCTGCTTGTCCCCTCTCCTTGAATGCTCTCCTCGTACCCTCTTTTGTCTTCCCTCTTGTCTCCTCTTTTGTCTTCCCTCTTGTCTCCTCTTTTGTCTTCCCTCTTGTCTCCTCTCTCCTTGTCTCCTCCCTTGTCTCCTCTCTCCTTGCCTCCTCTTCTTGTCTCCTCGTCTCCTCCTCTAAGTGCAGATGTACTAACATTATCGACGCCTCTGCTCTGTCTCCTCTCTCCTCTCCTCTTCTCCTTGTCTCCTCGTCTCCTCCTCCAAGTGCAGATGTACTAACATTATCGACGCCTCTGCTCTGTCTCCTCTCTCCTCTCCTCTTCTCCTTGTCTCCTCGTCTCCTCCTCTAAGTGCAGATGTACTAACATTATCGACGCCTCTGCTCTGTCTCCTCCCACGTACACAACACAAGGACCCTGAACCAGAAGCAGCTAAAATGAATTCAGCCCTCATTCATTTTATTTTTAGACCTGTGATTTTCCTGCTGTGACGTCTCTAAAACACGTCAACATCTCCATCGATCCACCTCAGAGCGAACTGAATGTTATTTCAGGTTTGTATATATATTTTTTACCTTTACTGTTTTCTAACTGAAATGCACCTTTGACAGTCGTAGCTGAATTTTCCTCCACAGACATCTTCTACCTTTTTGACTTTTTATCACAGAACTATTATATTTTCTATCACAGCTTTTTAGCTTGTATACTGATAATAAAGTATAAGCGAAGGAGATAAAAACACCTGTGGAAGTGTACCAGTGGTGGAAGAAGTATTCAGATCCTATACTTAAGAAGTAGTAGTAGTTGTTAAAAGTACTGCATTGAAAATGTTACTTGGGAAATGCATGTAAGCATAATAAGAAAAATGTAGATTATTATTCATCATGCATTAATGTAAAAGCAGGATTTTACTGCTGGAGCTCATTATGAACTATTTTCTATCAGACTGCAACTAATAATTATTTTCATTATGAAATAATCTGTTGATTATTTTCTCCATGAATCGATTGATTGATTGGTTTGTAAAGATTCTGCTGTCACAGTTACCCAGAGCACAAAGTGACGCCTTCACAACGCTTGTTGAGTCGAAGCAACAGCCCAAACCTTCAACATAATTAACAAACAATCCATCCATCGTCAGCCGCTTATCCTGCGTACAGGGACGCGCAGGGGGGGCTGGAGCCAATCCCAGCTGGCATCTGGAGAAAGGCGGGGTACATCCTGGACAGGTCGCCAGTCCATCGCAGGGCATTAACAAACATTCAAATTATTAAAATAATTATTAGTAAAAGCAGCAAATCTTGAAGCCGGAACCATGAAATGTTTTTGCATATAAAAATGACTGAAATGATCAAAATAGTTGCCGTTTAATTTTATGTTAACCGTCTCATCGTTCCAGATGTTTTTGTATAAACTGTTGGGAGTTTAATTTATAACAAAACATCATATTTTATAAAATGTTATGTGTAAAAAAAGTACAATATTTCCATCTGAGATGTAGTGGAGTATAAAAAGAAAGTGACAAGAAAAGAGTTTTAAAAAGTACAAATACTAAATCGAAGTTGTACTTAAGTACATGTATTCATTTAGCTGACGCTTTTATCCAAAGCGACTGAACAATTGCTATACATGTCAGAGGTCGCACGCTTAAAGGCTTAAGTGTCTTGCTCAGGGACACAATGGTGGATGGGTCACAGTGGAGGGGATTGAACCCAGGTCTCTCACACCAAAGGCATGTGTCTTATCTATTACACCATCACCACCCCATAGTAAATGTACTTAGTTACTGTCCACAACTGGGGTGGACCCTGTGTAGGGCACTAAAATCACTGTTTGGGCATTTTCTCTTAATTCAAACCAGATAATTAAACCCCTGAGCTGAGATGCTTCTCTGCAAAGCAGTGGGCTTGTCTCATTTTCCCTGCTTTTATTTGTCTCTTACAGCTGCAGCGCTCTTTCTTTTTGAACTATCCCTGCAGGTTTGTGTCCAGCAGTTGTAATTCCCCGTGGTCGCCAGCAGAAGTCGCCCCGCTTCAGCTTGTGTTGAAGTGATGACGCAGTTTTAAGTTCAGCTTCCTCAGGTCAGATGTAGAAGAACATCAGGAGGCTGAAATGTATTTTCTCCTGGTTAGATTCACTGCAGCAGCTGTACGGTGGCGACGCGGCTCTGCACTCCCGAGTCAGTCCAAAAAAGAAATGGTACTGCTCTGCACAGCTGACGAGTGTCAGCTGTAAATACATCGTCCTCCACCAGATATCACCATGGTGACAAGGCCAAGAGCTGAGAGATCAGCTGCTGTAGAAACACCAGTTGCTATAGCGACAGCCAGGATTGAAGAGCCAACATGGCCGTCAGTCAATATTCATGGCGAGTTTATTAGAAAACACACCTCGGCCACAAACAGGTGGCTCAGAAAATGTCATCAAATTTACATCTTTAAAAAGTAAATAACTGCAGATAAACGCCTTGAAACTGCAGGAGCTGACCTTTTAAATTCCTGTCTCACCAAACTACATGCAGTTTTCTTGTCATTTCTGCATCCCATGCACAGAGCTTCATCCTTTAAGTTGGCATTTAGAGAGCAGTAATATCATAAAGTAAGTCAGTATCACATTATTCCATGCAAGACCACTTGCTAATGTAATGGTAAGTGGTCTGTATTTGGAAAGAGCCTTTACGACCACACTCACTGAGGTGCCAACTGCACATCAGAAACAGAAATTAATCACGGGAGCAATTTGTGGTTCAGTGTCTTGCCAAAGGACTTCTCTGCTGTTCGACATGAACACCGGAGGAGCCAGAGTGGACGACCGCTCCACCCCCTGAGCCACAGCTGCATTCAGGTGATACAGGAGGCCGTGTCTTTTAACAGGTCTTTTTTTTTTACAGCAGACATTTTGGTTTGTCGCCGTAGTAAAAGCTCACTTTATAATAATAATAAAAACACCATGGCTCAGAGTCATCAAATTTAAATCTTTTACACCTTTAAAAAAATAAGTAATTCAGATAAACATTTTGGAACTGCAGAAGCTGACCTTTGAACTTCCTGTCTCACCAAACTACATGCAGTCTTCTTGTTATTTCTGCATCCCATGCACAGAGCTGCATCCTTTAAGTCGGCATTTAGAGAACAACAATATCATGAAGTCCGTCACTTTTACACCTTTTTAAAAAATTGCAGATGAACACCTTGAAACTGCCGGTGCTGACCCTTTAACTACCCGTGTAACCAAACTACATTCAATTTTCTTGTCATTGCTGCAATCCTCAGAGATCCTTTCGAAGTAATAATATAAAGTACGTCACTCTCACTTTATTCTTTGCAAGACTATTTAATGGTGAGTGGTATTTGTAAAGCGCCTTTCCAACCACTCAACACTACATCACATTCACACTCTGATGTGCCGAGGCAAAGGTGCCAACTGCACATCAGAAACAGAAATTAACTCATTAGCACACAGACAGGAGCAATTTGTGTTAAGAGTCGGCTGAGTGAAGGCGGAGGTGTGGAACCAAATGCAGACCAAAAGCAAGGATGCAGTTCAAAAATATTTATTAACTCAAAACTTAACAGGCTTCCACGGGAGCTTGAGGAAAGAAACAAGACAGAACAGAAACATTATCCAAAGGTAGGATCCAAAAACACAGATGACGCAAGGACGTGACAAAGACTGAAGAAACAAGCAAGCATATAGACACACAGGAACTAACGAGCGGGGTAGGAGCAACACAGGTGAAGGGAATTAGGACTAATCAGGCACAGCAGACACACAGTGAATAAGACAGAGTGTAACAGCAAGGAAACCAGAACAGAATAAACCGAAAAGACTACAAACACAAGCAGACGCAGATCCAAAAACAAAGGCAGAGGTAAGAAATAAATCATCAAGACAACAATATACTAACAGGAATAAAGCTAGACAAAAACACCAGGCACAGAAGACTACAAAATAAAACAGGAAGTAAAGTTCATGGAACACACAAGGACAGATCTACCAAAGTAAAACATGGAGATAAAAGACTACGGACAAATACACAGACCATAAGTAATAAAACACAGAAGTACATCGACCAAGAAAAACACTAAACTTGAACTAAAGCTCAGGACTGAGAACTACGATAAGAGACAAGACGGTTACTAAGAACACTTAAAGCGAATGAACAAAATAATAAACAACACTACAAAACTCCAAACCACGACAATATCAAATAAACAAAGGAAAAAACAAGAGAACCAAACCAAATCCTAACAATTTGAGGTTCAGTGTTTTGTCATTTCTGCCCTTTGACATGCAGACCGGGGGAGCTAGGGATTGAACCACCGATCTTCCTTCCGGTTAGTGGATAACCGCTCTACCCCTGAGCCACAGCTGCCCCAATGGTGCATTCAGGTGATCCATAAGTAGGCTGTGTGTAATGTTATTTTCACAGCAGACATTTTGGTTTGTCGTAACAGGAAAAATACAGTTTATAATAATAATTAAGTGCAAATTTGAACATGTCCAGAAAATGATCAAAAGAAATCCTGACTTGCTGCAGGAGTTATGAGCTCATTCACCAGTCAGGTGCCATTAAAACC